CCCTGTGCTCCTCAGAGTCCCAGCAGGAGGCCAGTCCCTGTGCTCCTCAGAGTCCCAGCAGGAGGCCAGTCCCTGTGCTCCTCAGAGTCCCAGCAGGAGTCCAGTCCCTGTGCTCCTCAGAGTCCCAGCAGGAGTCCAGTCCCTGTGCTCCTCAGAGTCCCAGCAGGAGGCCAGTCCCTGTGCTCCTCAGAGTCCCAGCTGGAGGCCAGTCCCTGTGCTCCTCAGAGTCCCAGCAGGAGGCCAGTCCCTGTGCTCCTCAGAGTCCCAGCAGGAGGCCAGTCCCTGTGCTCCTCAGAGTCCCAGCAGGAGGCCAGTCCCTGTGCTCCTCAGAGTCCCAGCAGGAGGCCAGTCCCTGTGCTCCTCAGAGTCCCAGCAGGAGGCCAGTCCCTGTGCTCCTCAGAGTCCCAGCAGGAGGCCAGTCCCTGTGCTCCTTAGAGTCCCAGCAGGAGGCCAGTCCCTGTGCTTCTCAGAGTCCCAGCAGGAGTCCAGTCCCTGTGCTTCTCAGAGTCCCAGCAGGAGGCCAGTCCCTGTGCTCGTCAGAGTCCCAGCAGGAGGCCAGTCCCTGTGCTCCTCAGAGTCCCAGCAGGAGGCCAGTCCCTGTGCTCCTCAGAGTCCCAGCAGGAGGCCAGTCCCTGTGCTCCTCAGAGTCCCAGCAGGAGGCCAGTCCCTGTGCTCCACAGAGTTGGTTCATGTGGCTCTAACATGTCACAGATGGACTTCAGTGCGAGGCCATGGAGAGACTTGTACAGAAGCAGAGACCTGTGAACCGCACTAATGTGGTCGTACTTCCTGGTTCTAGTCGGGACTAATGCGGTCGTACTTCCTGGTTCTAGTCAGGACTAATGTGGTCGTACTTCCTGGTTCTAGTCGGGACTAATGCGGTCGTACTTCCTGGTTCTAGTCGGGACTAATGCGGTCGTACTTCCTGGTTCTAGTCAGGACTAATGCGGTCGTACTTCCTGGTTCTAGTCAGGACTAATGCGGTCGTACTTCCTGGTTCTAGTCAGGACTAATGCGGTCGTACTTCCTGGTTCTAGTCAGGACTAATGTGGTCGTACTTCCTGGTTCTAGTCAGGACTAATGTGGTCCTACTTCCTGGTTCTAGTCAGGACTAATGTGGTCCTACTTCCTGGTTCTAGTCAGGACTAATGCGGTCGTACTTCCTGGTTCTAGTCAGGACTAATGTGGTCGTACTTCCTGGTTCTAGTCAGGACTAATGTGGTCGTACTTCCTGGTTCTAGTCAGGACTAATGCGTCCTGTACTTCCTGGTTCTAGTCAGGACTAATGTGGTCCTACTTCCTGGTTCTAGTCAGGACTAATGTGGTCCTACTTCCTGGTTCTCACGTTTATAACACATATGCAGACACACAGCGCATTTACATTACAGACAATGGTACACACGTGTAGAGCACAGTAAAGGTTATCAGAATAATGACTTCACGGAGCGGTGGTTTTGACTGTCCATCTCGGGTGTGCTAGCGTCCCGTGTTCACTAGGGGGCGTCAGAACGTCGTTGGTGGATCGCCAGTCTGCCTGGGAGAGATGTCTTCAGGCCTTATCTGAGAAATTAACCAGACCCGATTTGATCTTTGATCTCGCCGGAGAGGGAGGCAAAGATGCTTGTTCCTGGGGTCGATCATTGTCCCAGTTTGAAGGTTGGTATCTTTGTGACTAATGATAGTCCTCCATTCGACCTTTTTATGTCTCAGATGTCTGCTCTGGGATGGACATTCCGAGGTCATTCTCTGTCCATGCTCCATGCCATGCTCTCCTTTTGTCACCTTACAACTCCTTCTTTACCACAACGGTCCGATACAGCTCTGAGTGTAGACGCTGCTCCCTCTTTACCACAACGGTCTGATACAGCGACCGCATCACTGCGCACGCTGCACCGATCCGCCTGTCAATCTCACGCTCCATTCTTCCCTCACTCCTGAACAAGACCTCGAGATACTTGAACTCCTCCACTTGAGGAAGGACCTCTCCACCCGCCTGCAGAGGGCAAGGCACCTTTTTCCGTTCGAGCACCATGGCCTCGGATTTGGAGGTGCTGATTCTCATCCCAGCCGCTTCACACTCGGCTGCAAACCGTCCCAGTGCATGTTGCAGGTCCTGGTTCGTTGGAGCCAACAGGACGACATCATCCGCAAACAGCAGAGATGAAATCCTGTGATCTCTGAACCGGACCCCCTCCGGCCTCTGGCTGCGCCTAGAAATTCTGTCCATAAATACAGTGAACAGAACCGGTGACAAAGGGCAGCCTTGGCGGAGGCCAACACGGACCGGGAACAGGTCTGACTTACTGCTGATGCAAACACAGCTCTGGCTCTGGTCATACAGGGACCGGACGGCCCTCAGCAGAGGCTCGTTGGAGGCTCGATAGGACTCCTTCTTCAGTCTGACAGCATCCCTTACTGCCGGCGTCCACCACTGGGTTCGGGGGTTGCCGCCGGGACCAGCACCAAAGACCTTGCGACCAATACTACGAGACGCCGCATCAGCGATAGAGGAAGAGAACGTGGTCCACTCGGACTCGATGTCCCCCTCCTCCACCGGGACCTGGGAGAAACTCTCCCGGAGGTGTGAGTTGAAAGTCCGTCTGACAGGGGGCTCAGCGAGACGTTCCCAGCAGAGCCTCACTACACGCTTGGGCCTGCCAGGTCTGACCGGCTTCCTTGACCGGCACGGTGAGGATAGCACTCTCGCCTCTCAGCAAGAAGGTTCTGGGTTCGAATCCCGATCGGACCAGGGCCTTTCTGAGTGGAGTTTGCATGTTCTCCCCGTGTCTGCGTAGGTTTCCTCTGGGTACTCCGGTTTCCCCTACCACTAAAAATATATACAATAGGTCTGGCATGCGACTCCTGTACTGGCGACCCCGCTCCCATCTCTGTGTGGAGTGAGAGACAAATGCCCAAAAAATAACAATTGTAAACCGCTTTGTGACTCTGTCTGTGAAAGGCGGTATATAAATAAACATTACTAATTACTTACTCCACTGCAGCGGATCCAACTCACGACCAGGTGCCAGCTCCACCCTATCTCTTCACCCGAGTGTCCGAGACACTGGTGTTGGTGATGGACAAACTGTGACTGGCACAGAAGTCCAACAACTGAACACCGCTCGGGTTCAGATCAGGGCCGTTCTTCCCAATCACCCCTCTCCAAGTGTCACTGGCGTCCCCCACATGGGCAATGAAGTCCCCCAGGAGAATAACGGAGTCCCCGGGCGGTGCACCGTCCAGTACCCCTCCCAGGGAACTTCAAGAAGGCTGGGTACTCTGCGCTGCTGTTAGGCCCGTAGGCCGTCACAACAGTGAGAGACTTGTCCCCCACCCGAAGGCGGAGGGACGCGACCCTCTCATTCACCGGGGTTCAGAGCCCAAGCTGTGTGTGGAGGTGAGTAGGCCTGTCGCGATAGTCAATAAATCAATTAATCGCACGATAAATAAAATTTGCTCAATAACTTTTGTGGCCGCGATAAATCCCATTTGCATGCTTGTTTGTTTCCCCCGTCGCTCTCGGGTCAGAGAGCCGCAAAGTGGTCACGGGAACATTAGCGGTCTAGCAAGCAGACGGAAATTACTCAAAAATACAAAATACAGCCAAAACAGGACCTAAACCAGGACTTAACCAGGATTGACAATGGCGGACACAGTAGTTGTGAACATATGCCGGCAGCTGAGTTCTCATTCAGGCTTGATTAGTGACTATACTAGCGCAGCTAGCGTTAGCGTGTTCGCCGATGCAGAAGTACCGTACCATACCAATAAAATACACTTATGGCGCACCTCCGTGAACACATACTGCTGTTATATAAAGTCTCTAGAAGGTCTCTGAACTCAGAGATGCTGCAGACTTGCATTCTTGGAGTAGAACTTTACACAAAAAACCCGCTAGCTTAGCTGTTAGCATCAAAGCCTGCCCCGCTACTTCCGGTGGGCGCTACCGCAGCAGGACTTCTGTACGCCCCATTGGTGAACCCACATGTCAGTCACTTGTCATTCGCCTGGTGTGTGGGGAGGTGGGACTACTGGCGTAGCCCACAGAGTGCAGCTGAGGAGCCGCGAGAGAAGTTTACCGGTAGGCACTACGCAGAGAGAAAGCTAGTTGCGAGTGCGGGACAAAACGATGGAATTGGTTTCCAAGCCAAACGCGACAGCTGCAGTGTGGGAGCATTTCGGATTTAAACCGAATGCCCGAGGTGAACCACTGAACATGTGCGAGTCGGTGTGTCGCATTTGTTGGAAAACAGTTGCAGTTAAAAGCGGCAACACAACAAACTTACATATGCATCTACAACACAATCAGTTTATTGTGTTCTACCGTTAAATATTCGTTAAAAATAAAAGTTTATTTCTCTTTGAAAAGGTGTACCTGCATTATCATTGTAATCGATGATCTCAGAACGACAATATAATCGCTTATCGCAATAATTTCTGAGACAATTAATCGTCCAGCAAAATTTGTTATCGTGACAGGCCTAGAGGTGAGGCCGACTATCTCTAGGTATCTCTCGACCTCCCCCACGAGCTCGGGCTCCTTCTCGCCCAGTGAGGTGACGTTCCACGTCCCAAGAGCCAGATGTTGAGTGTGTGGACTGGGTCGCCGAGGTCTCCGCCTTCGACCGCTGCCCAGTCCTCTCAGCACCGCGCCACCACGGACCCCTCTGCAGGTGGTGGGCCCACATCACAAACATTCAACTGCAAATGTTAGTTCTATACAGAGGTAATTTACAGCCTGGGAGCTATGGATTGGAGACCTATTGCTGTATTTTAACTAATTGTACTATTTACTCAGTGTTCGGCGACCTTGAGTATCTAGAAAGGCACCTAACAAATCAAACGTATTTTTATTATTATTAAGAGCTGACCATCCCGTTGCAAGGAGCTCCACAAGCATTTAGAAAAACCCTAACCCGTCCTATTCTGAAAGTCCTAGTATCATTTATCTAACAAAAGCAAGAATGTCTGGCCTCGGCCTCCTGCTTTCTGTGTCGTAGCCTGACCTCTTCGTCTCCATCACAGTCGCTCGTGTCTCTGTACAGGCCCATCACAGTCGCTCGTGTCTCTGTACAGGCCCATCACGGTCGCTCCTGTCTCTGTACAGGCCCATCACGGTCGCTCCTGTCTCTGTACAGGCCCATCACGGTCGCTCCTGTCTCTGTACAGGCCCATCACGGTCGCTCCTGTCTCTGTACAGGCCCATCACGGTCGCTCCTGTCTCTGTACAGGCCCATCACAGTCGCTCCTGTCTCTGTACAGGCCCATCACGGTCGCTCCTGTCTCTGTACAGGCCCATCACGGTCGCTCCTGTCTCTGTACAGGCCCATCACGGTCGCTCCTGTCTCTGTACAGGCCCATCACGGTCGCTCCTGTCTCTGTACAGGCCCATCACGGTCGCTCCTGTCTCTGTACAGGCCCATCACGGTCGCTCCTGTCTCTGTACAGGCCCATCACGGTCGCTCCTGTCTCTGTACAGGCCCATCACGGTCGCTCCTGTCTCTGTACAGGCCCATCACGGTCGCTCCTGTCTCTGTACAGGCCCATCACGGTCGCTCCTGTCTCTGTACAGGCCCATCACAGTCGCTCCTGTCTCTGTACAGGCCCATCACGGTCGCTCCTGTCTCTGTACAGGCCCATCACGGTCGCTCCTGTCTCTGTACAGGCCCATCACGGTCGCTCCTGTCTCTGTACAGGCCCATCACGGTCGCTCCTGTCTCTGTACAGGCCCATCACAGTCGCTCCTGTCTCTGTACAGGCCCATCACGGTCGCTCCTGTCTCTGTACAGGCCCATCACGGTCGCTCCTGTCTCTGTACAGGCCCATCACGGTCGCTCCTGTCTCTGTACAGGCCCATCACAGTCGCTCCTGTCTCTGTACAGGCCCATCACGGTCGCTCCTGTCTCTGTACAGGCCCATCACGGTCGCTCCTGTCTCTGTACAGGCCCATCACGGTCGCTCCTGTCTCTGTACAGGCCCATCACGGTCGCTCCTGTCTCTGTACAGGCCCATCACAGTCGCTCCTGTCTCTGTACAGGCCCATCACGGTCGCTCCTGTCTCTGTACAGGCCCATCACAGTCGCTCCTGTCTCTGTACAGGCCCATCACGGTCGCTCCTGTCTCTGTACAGGCCCATCACGGTCGCTCTGTCTCTGTACGCCTCACGCGCTCCTGTCTCTGTACAGGCCCATCACGGTCGCTCCTGTCTCTGTACAGGCCCATCACGGTCGCTCCTGTCTCTGTACAGGCCCATCACGGTCGCTCCTGTCTCTGTACAGGCCCATCACGGTCGCTCCTGTCTCTGTACAGGCCCATCACGGTCGCTCCTGTCTCTGTACAGGCCCATCACGGTCGCTCCTGTCTCTGTACAGGCCCATCACGGTCGCTCCTGTCTCTGTACAGGCCCATCACGGTCGCTCCTGTCTCTGTACAGGCCCATCACGGTCGCTCCTGTCTCTGTACAGGCCCATCACGGTCGCTCCTGTCTCTGTACAGGCCCATCACGGTCGCTCCTGTCTCTGTACAGGCCCATCACAGTCGCTCCTGTCTCTGTACAGGCCCATCACGGTCGCTCCTGTCTCTGTACAGGCCCATCACGGTCGCTCCTGTCTCTGTACAGGCCCATCACGGTCGCTCCTGTCTCTGTACAGGCCCGTCACAGTCGCTCCTGTCTCTGTACAGGCCCGTCACAGTCGCTCCTGTCTCTGTACAGGCCCATCACGGTCGCTCCTGTCTCTGTACAGGCCCATCACGGTCGCTCCTGTCTCTGTACAGGCCCATCACGGTCGCTCCTGTCTCTGTACAGGCCCATCACAGTCGCTCCTGTCTCTGTACAGGCCCATCACGGTCGCTCCTGTCTCTGTACAGGCCCATCACAGTCGCTCCTGTCTCTGTACAGGCCCATCACGGTCGCTCCTGTCTCTGTACAGGCCCGTCACAGTCGCTCCTGTCTCTGTACAGGCCCATCACAGTCGCTCCTGTCTCTGTACAGGCCCATCACAGTCGCTCCTGTCTCTGTACAGGCCCATCACGGTCGCTCCTGTCTCTGTACAGGCCCATCACGGTCGCTCCTGTCTCTGTACAGGCCCATCACGGTCGCTCCTGTCTCTGTACAGGCCCATCACGGTCGCTCCTGTCTCTGTACAGGCCCATCACAGTCGCTCCTGTCTCTGTACAGGCCCATCACAGTCGCTCCTGTCTCTGTACAGGCCCGTCACAGTCGCTCCTGTCTCTGTACAGGCCCGTCACGGTCGCTCCTGTCTCTGTACAGGCCCGTCACAGTCGCTCCTGTCTCTGTACAGGCCCATCACGGTCGCTCCTGTCTCTGTACAGGCCCATCACGGTCGCTCCTGTCTCTGTACAGGCCCATCACGGTCGCTCCTGTCTCTGTACAGGCCGCTCTCTGAGGGGAAGCTCTTATCTGATAATGGCTCTGTTCCATTTCAGCTCGTGCTCCTTTAAACTCTGCCGTTCACACTCCACCCGGCGCAGCGTGGGGCTTCTCCGCCGCCTTAAACCCTGCTCACACCGCATTAGATTTAACCCCCGGGACGACTCTAACATGTTGATCACCTCAACACATCTTTCTCTTTGTGTAACTGATGCTTGTCTTTGGGATTGTGCTGAGGGTGCGGCACATTATAGACTATATTTCTATCATTTTGAGTAGGGACAGAAACATCATCAACATTTCTATACATGTGTCAGTGTTAGCGATGCAGGTAGTTTTCAACTGTGGTCCCAAAGCAAGGTGTAAAAGGCTGAAAACACTGCAAACAATATAGGAAATAAAGGTTTAAACTTTACAATGTATAACTGGTCATTAAAACATATAAAATAGCTTATTACAAATACCTAATGGAGGATTTTCCAATCACCATGTTTTTAACGAGTGTTTAAAAGTCCTCTTGCTAGCACTCTTTGGATGCAAATAAGCTCAAGGCTACAATCCAAAGTGATGTGTTCATTATCATGTACTGTCCCAACCAAATGAACAATAAATAAGAAATAAATAAGTGTTTGTAAAGTCAGCCATCAAAACGACAGCTGCAGCGATATGAATGTGCGACCTATAGTTTTAAACCAGAATCCAGACGTTTGTTTGACTTTTCATGGACCAAAGGGACTTAAACATTTAGTGTAATTTCTTCGCATTGCACCCATAACTTGGTTTTGGTGGTAGGAGAAACCGGACCACCTGGAGGAAACCTACACAGACACAGGGAGAACATGCAAACTCCTGACAAAAAGCCCTTGTCTGACCCAGGAATCAAACCCAGGACCTGAAGCTGTAAAGCCATGAGGTCTGTACCTTACTGAGATGGTACTGTATGATTATTACTTTTCTACAGGGACAGTGAGAGATGCATTGTACCCGGTTGTAGCAGCGTTGCTAATTTACGCCTATAGTCCCTGAGATAACAGAGATGTCAAACACAGGTGTCAAACTCATTTTGGACCGAATGAAAAAAATAGAAACTGGTTGGGGCCCAAAAGAATGAGATTTTCTATTTTTTCATATTTATATGTAATTGTTTTTTACATCATGACAGTATTTTTACATGACTTTATTATGCATATTATTTTCTTGTTTATTTGTCTAAAAACGAGATGTCTTAGATTTAACCAAAACTGGAGCAAAACAAATGGTTCTATATCTAACTTCTAATGATGTGTTGAGTTAAATTATAGAATACATTAAACTAGCAATATGTAAGATTTTCATGTCAAGTCATAAATAAAGGGCCCTAATCGGTCATCATTAAAGGGTCCTAATCTGTCATCATTAAAGGGCCCTAATCGGTCATCATTAAAGGGTCCTAATCTGTCATCATTAAAGGGCCCTAATCTGTCATCATTAAAGGGCCCTAATCTGTCATCATTAAAGGGCCCTAATCTGTCATCATTAAAGGGTCCTAATCTTTCATCATTAAAGGGTCCTAATCTTTAATCATTAAAGGGCCCTAATCTGTCATCATTAAAGGGTCCTAATCTGTCATCATTAAAGGGTCTTAATTTGTCATCATTAAAGGGTCCTAATCTGTCATCATTAAAGGGCCCTAATCTGTCATCATTAAAGGGCCCTAATCTGTCATCATTAAAGGGCCCTAATCTGTCATCATTAAAGGGTCCTAATCTGTCATCATTAAAGGGCCCTAATCTGTCATCATTAAAGGGCCCTAATCTGTCATCATTAAAGGGCCCTAATCTGTCATCATTAAAGGGCCCTAATCTGTCATCATTAAAGGGCCCTAATCTGTCATCATTAAAGGGTCCTAATCTGTCATCATTAAAGGGCCCTAATCTGTCATCATTAAAGGGCCCTAATCTGTCATCATTAAAGGGCCCTAATCTGTCATCATTAAAGGGCCCTAATCTGTCATCATTAAAGGGCCCTAATCTGTCATCATTAATGGGCCCTAATCTGTCAAAAGACATTAATAAACCGCTCTTTGGGAGTGGGAGAGGCTGCAGTACCACTTTTGGCCTGATTTTTACATATTTCTCCTTTTTTTTAGAAAATAGATGTAAAACATACCTTCTCAGCCCATTACCAGCGAGTTAGGTACTGTACACTGGAGGAGTCACTAAAAATAGTCTTGCAGGCCAGATTTCATTTCATATGTCTATTTATTTATGGCTCTGAGCCTGAGTTTGACATTCTGATCTTTAATCACACTGAACTGAGAACCTGTGTTTATAATATCTAATATTGCTTCTGTTTGGTGTTTGGTGACTGAATAAGAACCAATTGCATTAGTAAATGTTAACAGTGGTACACAGTGCAGCCAATCACCCCCATCTCTCCCTGAGCGACTAGAACAACCCCCCATCTCTCCTTGAGCGACTAGAACAACCCCCCATCTCTCCCTGAGCGATTAGAACAACCCCCCATCTCTCCCTGAGCGACTAGAACAACCCCACATCTCTCCTTGAGCGACTAGAACAACCCCCCATCTCTCCCTGAGCGACTAGAACAACCCCCCATCTCTCCTTGAGCGACTAGAACAACCCCCCATCTCTCCTTGAGAGCGACTAGAACAACCCCCCATCTCTCCTTGAGCGACTAGAACAACCCCCCATCTCTCCCTGAGCGACTAGAACAACCCCCCATCTCTCCCTGAGCGACTAGAACAACCCCCCATCTCTCCCTGAGCGACTAGAACAACCCCCCATCTCTCCCTGAGCGACTAGAACAACCCCCCATCTCTCCCTGAGCGACTAGAACAACCCCCCATCTCTCCCTGAGCGACTAGAACAACCCCCCATCTCTCCCTGAGCGACTAGAACAACCCCCCATCTCTCCCTGAGCGACTAGAACAACCCCCCATCTCTCCCTGAGCGACTAGAACAACCCCCCATCTCTCCTTGAGCGACTAGAACAACCCCCCATCTCTCCCTGAGCGACTAGAACAACCCCCCACATCTCTCCTTGAGCGACTAGAACAACCCCCCATCTCTCCCTGAGCGACTAGAACAACCCCCCATCTCTCCCTGAGCGACTAGAACAACCCCCCATCTCTCCCTGAGCGACTAGAACAACCCCCCATCTCTCCTTGAGCGACTAGAACAACCCCCCATCTCTCCCTGAGCGACTAGAACAACCCCCCATCTCTCCCTGAGCGACTAGAACAACCCCCCATCTCTCCTGAGCGACTAGAACAACCCCCCATCTCTCCCTGAGCGACTAGAACAACCCCCCATCTCTCCCTGAGCGACTAGAACAACCCCCCATCTCTCCCTGAGCGACTAGAACAACCCCCCATCTCTCCCTGAGCGACTAGAACAACCCCCCATCTCTCCCTGAGCGACTAGAACAAACCCCCCATCTCCTCCCTGAGCGACTAGAACAACCCCCCATCTCTCCCTGAGCGACTAGAACAACCCCCCATCTCTCCCTGAGCGACTAGAACAACCCCCCATCTCTCCCTGAGCGACTAGAACAACCCCCCATCTCTCCCTGAGCGACTAGAACAACCCCCCATCTCTCCCTGAGCGACTAGAACAACCCCCCATCTCTCCCTGAGCGACTAGAACAACCCCCCATCTCTCCCTGAGCGACTAGAACAACCCCCCATCTCTCCCTGAGCGACTAGAACAACCCCCCATCTCTCCCTGAGCGACTAGAACAACCCCCCATCTCTCCCTGAGCGACTAGAACAACCCCCCATCTCTCCCTGAGCGACTAGAACAACCCCCATCTCTCCTGAGCGACTAGAACAACCCCCCATCTCTCCCTGAGCGACTAGAACAACCCCCCATCTCTCCTTGAGCGACTAGAACAACCCCCCATCTCTCCCTGAGCGACTAGAACAACCCCCATCTCTCCTGAGCGACTAGAACAACCCCCCATCTCTCCTGAGCGACTAGAACAACCCCCCATCTCTCCTGACGACTAGAACAACCCCCCATCTCTCCTGAGCGACTAGAACAACCCCCCATCTCTCCCTGAGCGACTAGAACAACCCCCATCTCTCCCTGAGCGACTAGAACAACCCCCATCTCTCCCTGAGCGACTAGAACAACCCCCCATCTCTCCCTGAGCGACTAGAACAACCCCCATCTCTCCCTGAGCGACTAGAACAACCCCCCATCTCTCCCTGAGCGATCTCCCTGAGCGACTAGAACAACCCCCATCTCTCCCTGAGCGACTAGAACAACCCCCATCTCTCCCTGAGCGACTAGAACAACCCCCCATCTCTCCCTGAGCGACTAGAACAACCCCCCATCTCTCCCTGAGCGACTAGAACAACCCCCCATCTCTCCCTGAGCGACTAGAACAACCCCCATCTCTCCCTGAGCGACTAGAACAACCCCCCATCTCTCCCTGAGCGACTAGAACAACCCCCCATCTCTCCCTGAGCGACTAGAACAACCCCCCATCTCTCCCTGAGCGACTAGAACAACCCCCCATCTCTCCTGAGCGACTAGAACAACCCCCATCTCTCCTGAGCGACTAGAACAACCCCCATCTCTCCCTGAGCGACTAGAACAACCCCCCATCTCTCCATCCTGAGCGACCTCTGAGCGACTAGAACAACCCCCCATCTCTCCTGAGCGACTAGACTAGAACAACCCCCCATCTCTCCTGAGCGACTAGAACAACCCCCATCTCTCCCTGAGCGACTAGAACAACCCCCCATCTCTCCCTGAGCGACTAGAACAACCCCCCATCTCTCCTGAGCGACTAGAACAACCCCCCATCTCTCCCTGAGCGACTAGAACAACCCCCCATCTCTCCCTGAGCGACTAGAACAACCCCCCATCACCACCTCTCTGTTCTCCTGCTGAAAAACGCTCTGCTCTTGAACTGCTCTTGCCCCTTCCTCCCCTTGTCATCAGAGTAAACCGCTGAATTACCCATCCATTTTTCTTCTTTTTATTGAATGGAGTGATGGATGCTGCGGGGGGGAGGCGGGCGTGACCTTGTTCCGCTCACTCCATCTCACGGTGGGCGTCTTACGGTCATCGATCGCTCCAATCATCGCCACCATTCGTTATCGATACGCGGGACACCACTGACATAACGGCTTCCTGTTCAGATGAATGGCGGATTAGGAGTTAAACTAGCTGCTTTGGTGCGGCACTTAAAACGCCACGGAAGCCAATACCACAGAGAAGCACCTGGAACATATTTTTTCTTTCTTCAGAGCTCAGAGATAAGAACGCTGTGTCCTTGTGGATTGTTGACCTGAGGGTATTGACAGAAGAAGGCCAGCCTCCATTTGTCTCGGCTGCTTCATCGATACTCGCTCGATACGAAGAGCAACATACCAGGACCAGTCTCAGAATAGAATATTTTCTACACACTGTTGGAAAACCTCTTTTCAGATCCACACGTCGCACTGAGAGAGTGTTCTAGGACCAAAAGATAAAAACATGTACTGTAGGCTGTCGGCTTTGGGAGATTTGGAAGCTGAGATTCTCCCACCTTATAATCAAACACACTGAAAAAAGTGAAATTTTGGTAAGATTCATTACTAAAAACAACATAAATTATGCTTATTTTTAAAGATTTTTTTTTCTGCTTGAATGAAGTTTGTCATGTAAAAAAAAACTAGTAAAAGAAGCGTATTTTACTGGTTTTAAGATAATAACACTTCTAAATATTATTAGAGATAAAAGTCTGAGCAATGACTTTTAATCACTAGTTAAGTATTTTTTGGTCTTATTTCCAGACCACTTTTCTTGTTGTTAGGAGGAGATAAAAAATAAGACAAAAATAATCCTCTCACACCAACCACAGAAGGTGAGCATTTCCATCCATTCATTTTCTTCCGCTTCATCCGTTGCCAGATTGTAGGTACAGCAGATAATCCAGGGGAGTCCAGCTGAGAGACACTGGCCACCTCACCTGGTTCCTCCTGATGTGCAGGAGCAGCGACTCTACTCTGAGCTCCTCCCCTTCACTCTATGGGAGATATGATAAAACAAAACCGAATAAAATACTGAAAATCTATTTTTGTATTTCGCTCTCATGCTTTTCATTTCTTACTATATTTAAAAAAAATATATATATATTAGATAAATATCCACATTATTAAAAAAAACGTTGAAAATTACTGCCTTACAAACTAGCGCATTAGCATTAGCCCCTACCCCAAAATACCTTTAAAAACGTCAATTTAAAATATTTTAGCAAAACTTTCAAAAATAACTTTATCGGCCTCAGAAAACCCACATTCATCTCTACTTTTCACATCTCATTCAAACCCGATAAAAAGGTGCTAAAACAGTAAAAAAAGCCTAAACAGCATTTGTGTTTCCAAATCAATTTCTAGATGTTTCTCTTCAGGCATCAGAGTTATTCAAGAAAACATCTCTCAATTCATTTTTATTTTATCTAGTATCTTCTACTGAGTAAAAGTCTGTCTGACCGAGTCTCCAAACACAATTGTGGATTTTCTCATCCGTTTCAAACAGCGGAGTTTCCTCTTTGTGTAATTATTCTGGTCGTGTCTGTCTTTGTTTACGGAGCACAAAGATAACAGCCAATAACAGCCAATAACAGCCAATAACAGCCAATAACAGCCAATAACAGCCAATAACAGCTAATAATGGATACATGCCATATCCTCGTCAGCGTTCTACAATACCACGTAATTACTTCTCACTTGTTTGCAAAGGAGCCGGATAATTACTTTTTCACAAATTTATGAAGTCACATGGGACTTTCATTTATGGTGAGATTACGTTGAAATTACGGTGAGATTACAGTGAGATTACGGTGAGATTACGGTGAGATTACGGTGAGATTACGGTGAGATTACGGTGAGATTACAGTGAGATTACGGTGAGATTACAGTGATATTACGGTGGGATTACGGTGAGATTACGGTGAGATTACCTGCAGCCACTCTATCTCCTCATCTGATCTGTATCATATTTCTGTTAACATTAGTGTTCGGTGAATGTCACGCAGGAGTAAAAACAGTGTAACGGCTGAATAATTATGACTAATAACGGCGACAGCTCCGCAAAAGGTTAACGAGACGCTGCGGTTAGACATGAGGTCGCTCAGAGCACTGGTGAAGAATGCTCAAGGTAAATACATGAACCACACTACACTGACTCCAGGTTTGTTTTGAGTTGATTTTAAAATGTTTCTTTGTTTTTTACAGCCCTCGATGGTCTGGCCCATCAGGTCCAAACAGACCGGTCTCTCTCAGTCCCTGGACCCAGACTCTGGAACAAACCCCTGATGTGTCTGTTCTCACTGGCCTTTTTAAATCCAGGCACAAAACTCATTCATTCAGACAGATTCTTTTAACACTTTCAACACTTTTTTGCGCGGTGACACTTTTTTAATGCTCTGTTAAGGCTTTTTAACAGTTTTATTGTTTGGTTGCATGTTTTAACGGATTTGATGTGATTTTATTGCATAGCACTTTTTTATCGCTTTGAGTGTTGTAAAGAGGCTCTATAAAAGTACAGTATATTGTATCTGAAAATAATGGGCGATACTAAAAGATCTCAAATAAACCGTAAACCTAAGGATCAAAGCTGTACGTTCATTTTCTGGAAGGAAAATACATTTAGCTTTGAAACATATAAAAATAGATGAAGTGGCTGAGCGGGAGACGGGATCCTGGGAAGTGAACCCTCCTGGAACGACAATGGTTTCTTTCCCTTTTTCTCAGGTCTCCACAAACTCTGAACAAACAGAGTTAGCCTCAGGGTCGGGGACGTTCTGAGAATGTCTGAATTACAATGTTCTGACTTAAAGAAGAAATATTATTATTGCCCATCAAACATGATACTGAGACTTTTTACGTTGGCCTTTTTTGTTTTAGGATGTGAAATAAAACCGTAAGTGTAAAATGTATCACTCTGTGCAGCCAGCAGAGGGAGACAAACATGTTTTTATTGTTTTTTCCCAAATTTTAAATATTAACGACGAGGCTACATGTTGGCGCCAGATATGCCAATGTTTTACTTTTTATCATCACTTTTTGCAGTGAAAAGTTTTTGAAAGTGACTGGAAGATAATACAGTCTATGCCTGAGTAAATAAGTATATAATCTTTATTTATATAAATCATTTTTACAGACCGCAGTCACACGCAGAACTTTACTATGTTCAGAAAGGGCTTAAGATAAGAACATGCCCTTACCAGCACACACACACACACACACTGATACACACACACACACACACGGCACGGTGGCTGAGTGGATAGCACTCTTGCCTCTCAGCAAGAAGGTCCTGGGTTCGAATCCCGGTTGGACCAGGGCCTTTCTGAGTGGAGTTTGCATGTTCTCCCCGTGTCTGCGTAGGTTTCCTCCGGGTACTCCGGTTTCCCCTACCACTAAAAATATGTACAATAGGTCTGGCATGTGCCTCCTGTACTGGCCCCGCTCCCATCTCTGTGTGGAGTGAGAGACAAGTGCCCTAAAAAAAATAACAATTGTAAACCGCTTTGAGACTCCTATGTGCAGTGAAAAGGCGGTATATAAATAAAGATTACTACTACTACTACTACACACTGATACAGACACACACACACTGACACACACACACTGATACAGACACACACACACTGACACACACACACACTGACACAGACACACACACTGACACACACACACACACTGATCCAGACACACACACACACACACAGGCACACACACACTGACACAGACACACACACACTGACACACACACACTGATACAGACACACCCACACACAGACACACACACACACAGGTTTTTGTTACCTGGTGGGTCCCTTTGACAGGGCCGTTCAGAATGGGACCCATAGACATAATCTTTTTTTACTGGGACTACTTTAAGTAATACAAAACAGTCAATAGAAACCAAACAACTCTTTTAAAGGAATTTTATTTTAGATTTTGTTTTCGAATTGCAGTGATTCTATTTTTGACATAGAATTTAATGCCACTCCATGTCCGATGTCTAAGGTCATCTGGTGAGGCATTAATGCAGGCCAGGCCAGGCCAGGCCAGGCCAGCCCAGGCCAGGCAGTGAGACTTCCCAGGGACCTTTCCAGTCTGTATGAAAGGTGTCATGGTCTTCTCCACAGCCTTCACCTCAGATGCAGACCATGGCTTTCTTACACGTTCTAGGGAGAGAAATAAAAATATATTAGCAATATACACTCCCAGGGTTAGGACCAAGCAGCCTGGCTGTAATCCCCCACCTGGTACACTTACCAGAAGGGGCACTGCCACTACCATGGGGTGCATCTGGATGAATGGTTGAAGGTTCTCCGCTTGAAGTTTCTTTTAGCCCGTCCGTTTGTGAGAGGATCTCTACTGCTCTCCCTGTCGCACAGAAAATAAAAATACAAGTGGCCTTTAGGGGAAAAAAATCATACATATTTTAATAATATCAAGAATTACCTTCAGGCTCAATTTGTATCTGGTCGAGGCTCTTTCCTTTGAATTCCGTCACTCTTCCCTGCTCCATGGCCATCAACACTTTGCTGATTTTGGCCAGCTCCAGTGTCCCCTCTGGTAGTCTGTAATATTGCCTGTGGATGCGAATGTCATGGCCGAGGAAGTTGGCAAGTATGTCCATCTCATTCTCTTTCATATTGAGAACTGTAGACATAGTAGCTATGTGCTTTCTAAGTTTGGTTGAGGATAGCATCTCTGGATGCACCGCACCACATTCTTTGGCTACCTGGCGTAGGGAGTCTGATCCCCTGATGTGGGTGTCTGCGCCCGGGCGGGAAAAGAAGTATGGGTTATGGTCAGAGATGGAACAGGCCCTTCTGTTCTCCACCAGCACCTCCATCCAAGCAATCATTTCAGGAGTCAAAAGAACCGGCACTTTCCCACTTCTTTTCCCTTTAATTTCAATGCGTTGAAAATGCTGACACAGCTTTTTCTCAAGTTGGGACAGTCCCAGAGCAATGTCAGAATGGATCCCAGTCTTACTTCTTAAGGTAAACGCTGTCAGTGGCATCTTTGAAACCTCACCTTCCCTTCTTCGATTGAAAATAATGACCTCACAAAGAGTCAAAACTGCCAGTTTAGACCAATGCTTAGACGTTGGCTCACTTATTAGGGTTTGCACATATTCAGGTCGACATACCTCAATATGTGCATGCATGGCTCTAACGTCCTCAGTCAGAGGGAGCAGGTCCGGAGTGTTCCACTTGGCTTGCCGGAGGGTCTGTAGGGCAGCAGAAGAAACACAGACGTCCCACCTCTTCTCAAAAAGCAGCCGGCTTCGTTGGAGGTTTTTAATAAATAGTTCATCAACACAATGCTCCATTTTTGAGTCACATTCAAGAATATCTGCTAGCTTTCTGAGGCTATGGCCGAGTTTGAGGGCCAAGGATGGAGTCTTGTATTGATTTGTTTCCTCATCATATCCAGCCACAGACCTGACTGCATCAATCACATGGTTAAAGTTGGAAGGAATAAAGAAATCCTTCATTGTTTTCAGTTTCCCTGCAGTTTTTGCTTCGTTAATTAACCTACCGACTTCTCTCATTTTCTGCCTAATGTAATCATGCTTAGTCTTATCATGCCCGTGTTTTAAGTACAGGTGCTCTCCGAGTCTCAGAATCCCCTTTTCTGCTTTGACAACACCCGTGACCCATCCTGATGCATTGCCCAAATTAAAGACCACAGCTTTTTGCTGATGCCCTCCGGTACAGGCTGGGCTAGGGAGCAGAGGGACTGGACCCTACTTCTACCTGGTTTAGCCTGGTTTAGCCTGGGCATCTTTCTGTGAAAGCCGGCACCTGGCCACATGCCTCCACAGCGACTTTCGCTTAAGCAATGCCCCACAGTCTATACAGTGCAAAAACTCACTGGATTTAACTGGGCAATTTGGCTGTTTAGCTGGGACTAAAGTTCCAATGCCGGCCTTTAAAACCTCAACATTGTGCTCACGGTTTCCACTATTCCTGATCAAATCAAACTGAAGTTTACGTGCTTTAGATTTCACAGGTAGAGCCAATGCTCTGGCTACGTCACTTTCATTTCCATGTTTTCTAGTCAAATGACGGGACATTTTGTGGCAGGACATTGAACAGTAGAGGCAGAAGTGTCTCTTGCTGTAAACTCGCCCCCCATTTTTCTTCTTTTGCAGCTGCATGATAACAATCTTATTTTCCTTTGGTTCGTCACTTTCCGAGTCTTGAAGAAAAGTGTTTTTGATTTTTCTTTTTCCATACTTTTTCACAGGTTTCTTCTTGACAGTTAAATCGTCAGAATCTGAGTCGACTTCATCAATTAGGGACTCTTGACTAAGCTGCACAAACAACAAATAATTTGTAATAATTCTATATAACAATTTGAAGTCATGACTTGTAGTCAGCACTTACCAGTGGTTTGTGCTGCTCTGTGATTGGCTGCAGCCTAATGAACCACACACTTGCACCTTTTCTAGCCTGACACCTGATTTCCTCTGTTGTGCTGCTCCATGATTGGCTCCAGCCTCTGTTGTGCTGCTCCATGATTGGCTCCAGCCTCTGTTGTGCTGCTCCATGATTGGCTCCAGCCTGCTGGACTGAAATTGCCCCAGTGTGCCCCTCCTTGATATTCCGCAACCCACCACCAGGGTTCCGACACATAACACACTTTTTTCAGGAAAGTAAACCTCCAGGGGTCCTTTCCATATTTTTACAGAGACTGCATAAGGACCGTTAGAAAAGCATTACCCATTGATTATTAAGCTTGGACCAGTGGGGTCCGGTGTTCGGGCCCCACCACGTAAAACCAGTCCCCATGACGTGAGTGGAATCTCAGGTTATGGAACCCACCAGGAGTTGAAAACAAGTGCACACACACACACACACTAACACACACACACACACACTGACACCCACACACACACACCCACACCCACACACACACACACCCACACCCACACACACACACACACACACACACAGCTCCCAGTGCCACTCAAGTAAATGGTGTTTGAGTTAACATGTGTTAGATTTATCCGAGGCGTCATGGTCATATATTGAGGCGGTGGGAACACATCAGAGAGAAGTGGTCCTTCAGAAGCCGATGAACACTGATTATCTGCCAGTCAAAGTCTATACGCTGGTTCTGTCCTCATTACAGCGAGAGAACCGGGCCTAACACTCGCTCAGGTGTTGATGGTTCAGAACATGTCACACGCTGCCAAAGGAAACTCTAACCTCACACCGGCCAATTTAGAGATCTAGAAATAAAACATGGATGCAAACAGTTTGAGCAGAAAGAAAAGAAAGAAAAGTGGAGTCATGAAGAGATGATCCTGTGTTTGGATCACGTGCACATACACACACGTGCACATACACACGTGCACATACACACACGAGCACATACACACGTGCACATACACACACGCGCACATACACACGTGCACATACACACGCGTGCACATACACACACGTGCACATACACACGTGCACATACACAAACGTGTACATACACACACGTGCACATACACACGCGTGCACATACACACACGCGCACATACACACGTGCACATACACACACGTGCACATACACACGCGTGCACATACACACACGTGCACATACACATGTGCACATACACAAACGTGTACATACACACGCGTGCACATACACACGTGCACATACACACACGTGCACGTACACACGTGCACATACACACGTGCACATACACACGTGCACATACACACACGTGCACATACACACGTGCACATACACACACGTGCACATACACACGTGCACATACACACGTGCACATACACACGCGCACATACACACGCATCAGTTCTTATTGTGGGTGAGAGTCTGGTTTGACTGTAGACGTTCTTCTTTGGCAGGTGTGAGAACATGTGGGAGTTTGCGCTTGTTATCAGCTCTGGTTGGTGACAAATTCCGCTGACGAAAAGAAAGTAGAGTTGCCAAATGTTCTTGTAGAGATCCTGCACTCATTGTAGATCGGATCACGGCCAGGTGAGGTTTTTAGCGTAGCATGGTTCGTAAACAAGACAGGAAGGTTTCAAATAAGGCGGCACATGTAGTCTGGAATAGCCTGATGGATTAAAAAAGTGTAAAATGTGAAAATAGTGAAAAAATCCGCTCAGCGATGTTGCTCCCATGTGTCTCCTAATGTGGTCACATGAGCAGAAGCTGTCATGTGACTGACACCAAACTAAACAACTCAAAAGTGCTTCACATTACATGGAAAGAAACGTTAAAGGCTTGATTTGAACATCGTCAGAGAAGAAGTCTGTCTCACATTTCAGGAAGACGCAGGTTTTAGCTGCATCAATCTGAAACAATGCCTCCTCATGTTCAGCTCGGACTCTGGGACCAGCAGGAGTCCAGTCCCTGTGCTTCTCAGAGTCCCAGCAGGAGTCCAGTCCCTGTGCTCCTCAGAGTTGGTTCATATGGCACTAACATGTCACTGATGTACTTTGGTGCCAGGCCGTGGAGAGACTTGTTACAAAGTCTATACAATCCAATGCCCAAAGTAAACATAATGTTGTGTGGTTACATAGGGAGGACACAACTTCGAGAGCTTTACTAACTCGCACTGTAGAAGTATCAACCACATGTCCTCGGGCCAGTTCAGTGCAGTAGAAATCCTTCCGTAAGTAATTTTTCAGACCAAGGTTACTGCAATCACTGCATACGGCGATGACAGAAGCGAGTCGCCGAACACTGGACCATCAAAGCCTCCGACCAAACACCATCCATCCATTACATTCACACCTATTGTGCATGTCTTTGGTGGTAGGGGAAACCGTAGCACCCGGAGGAACCCTACACATGCAAACTCTAGTCAGAGAAGCCCTGTTCCGACCTTCTCACCTTCTCCTTCTCTGCCTCAAGCTGAAGACGATCCAGGTGAAGCTTAACTGACTTTGAGAAATGTTCGAATGTGAGCGGTGAGCTCGCTGGTTTTGCTCGCCCTCCGTGCACCCAGGAGCCTGCGCTCACATGCTAATTGTTTACGGAGCTCACGTCTCTCAATATATTCTCCCCCCTCTCCATCTGCCCCCCCTCCCGCCCCCACCTCTTCACACTTGCCCAGCCCAGTGGACACCGCCCAGTGCCCCCCCCCCCTCCAACCCTAACCCTAACCCCAACATCGGAGTAGAGGACGCCGTCATCTACTTCCTGCAGCGGACGCTCTCCCACCTGGAGCACGCCGGGAGCGCTCCGAGGGTCATGTTTTTTGACTTCTCCAGCGCTTTCAATACCATCAGGCCGGCACTGCTGCGGGGGAAGATGGAGGACGCGGGAGTGGACAGTAGCCTCACTGCATGGACCATCAACTACCTCACTGCATGGACCATCAACTACCTCACTGTATGGACCATCAACTACCTCACTGCATGGACCATCAACTACCTCTCAGACCGACCACAGTACGTGCGGCTGCAGCTGTGAGTCTGAGGTGGTCGTCTGCAGCACTGGGGCCCCTCAGGGCACTGTCCTCTCACCGTTTCTCTTCACCATCTACACTTC